AATTAATTTGTGTCCCCTAATCAAACGCAGACAGTTTAGCATATACTTAGAGACATACTTAATATAATGCCACTCAAACATACATACACGACTAAACCGTCACTTAAGGATGTTTAAGCGATACCAGAAATGTTGTACATGTTGTTGTTTTGTCATTTTAACGTTGACGAATATATAACATTATGTGTACAAGTATGTCTGCCTGCCTGCCTGCCGCTTTGCCAACTGTGTCTATCAACCTGCATTTTGTTAGCTAAGACTAGACGACAAGAGTGCATCGATACCATCCACATTTTCTACACTTGACATCGAAAGCAATATTGACAGTCTCATTTTATGCTTTGACAAAAAAAAATCGATGGTGGGATGATTGAAGAGCGATGTTGGTGTCAACTGAATATATATGAATATATACATATGGAATATATACTTAGATAAGGTATTTGGGAGAATTTTATGTAAAGTAGAACCTAATGATTGGGTTTTACTTATAGTAGAATTCACATGAATTTTTTCGTTGCGAAAAATCCTGTATATTTGTCTGTAATATTAGGTAATAAAGAGTAATTAATTAAAAGAGAGAAAGAGAAACGAAATATTGTTTTTATTTTATAACTTTTGTTTGTGGTGGCGGAAAAATTTTAAACCGAGCGCTGTTCAAAGGTGACCCACGTTCAAAGATGCCCCCTTTCTCCTATTTAAACAGTCATTTAATTTTTTATAGTTGAATCTAACTTGTAATATGTTAAACTATTTATGTAGAGAATATGGACGACTCTAGCGTCTACACTTTACCAAGATTGTGCACATTTTATTTTTTTTTTTAAGTTCGCATAAATATATATAGACAACGATATTGTAAATTCAAGGAGACAATTTTTTGTTGTTTATACTCTCAGAAAATAATTACCAAATTACAGAGGGGCTTCTGCAAGTATTTACAAACATTTCTGGGGGAAATTATTTTCATTACAAATCATCTGGAATTTAGTATTCCAGTCTTTTCGGCTAAAACCCACCTAATATGGAAAATTTGCTGGACCCTTCACATGTCAACATATTATTTCATAACGTTCTATAAAAAAATAGGCCTACTTCAAAATACCGAAAATGGGGCGAATATATAATTATCATTTTCTAAGCTGGTATATGCCTAAAACCTACCAAATACCGATTGTTAGTAGGCGGTACCGTTATAATGGAATTAAACCAAAACGTCTAATTGGCAATACCTAACATCCTGGAGTAATGTAAGTGAAAATTTTTCACAGATTTATTTTAAATATTTCGATCTCTATTGTGATTTCAACAGAAAAGTAAATGGACTTCACCAAAAAAATTATAGAATCGTAATTGTACTTAAATACATGAGGTTACGCAAAAAGTACAAAGAAATACAATATTTGTCATTTTTTTCTTGTTCTTAGCATAAATAGGGGTTTAAAATTTCTCCGATCCGCCACCAATATGTATACCCTTCACCACACTGTGGTACAGGGTATTTTGTCTTCGTGCATATGTTTGTAACAGGCAAAAGAAAACAAGATAGACACATGGTTCCTTTTGAGAACATGCATAGAATCACTTTCTAAGTCGATTTATTCATGTCCGTCCGTCTGCCCATGTTAAATTATAAACCAAAGTCCCTATATATCTTTCGATTTTAACGAAATTTGGCACAGCGTACTGAATTATGTATAGATTAATGTGTGATAAGTTTCGTGAACATCGGTTCCAATTTAGATATAGCTCTCATTCGACTTTATGTAAACGGTGCTCCAAAACCCCTATATAATTTGCGAAATTTGGTATGGTGTACTCAATTAAGTCTAGAATGATGTGTGTTAAGTTTCCTAAAAATCGGTTCAGATTTAGATATATCTCCCATATATATTTTCGTCCGATTTTATGTAAATTATGAACTAAATACCCAAAGTTTGTCCGATTGCCACACAATTTTTTACACTGAACTGAAGTCAATATAAATTACTTTGGTACATGCCCAGTAAATCGGATTTCTTAACTTTTGGCTTCGATTACTCTAAATTCCAAATTTGTTAATACGAATACGAAATTAACTGTAATTTCAACTATACTAATTTTAGTTTTTATGCTTTGATAACATTTTATGCTTTAATAAGTTTTGATCTATTTTTATACCTTTCACCAGACTGTGGTACGGGGTATTATGTCTTTGAGCAGGCAAAAGGAATCGAGATAGACCCATGGTTCCTTTTGAGAATATGCATAGCAACACTTTCTGAGTCGCCCGTCCGCCCGTCCATGTATTTTTGTTAACAAAGTACAGGTCGCACTTATGATACGAGTTGAAATAGGCGCAGATTTAGGTATAGCTCCCACATATAATACATGTCCGATCGGAACAGAATTTTGCACAGCGCACTGAATCAGATCCATGCTTATGTGTGCGAAGTTTTGTTGGAATCGGTTCAGATTTAGATATAGCTCCCATATATATAGTCTTCCGAATTTATGTGAATGATGCACCAAACTCCCAATATTTGTCCGATTGGCATAAACGTTCCGAATTAGGTCCAGACTGATGTCTGCGAAGTTTGGTTAAAATCGGTTCAGATTTAGATATAGCTCCCATATATAGTTTCGTCCGATTTTTTCGTGAATAATACACCAAACTCCCAATATTTGTTCGATTTGCACAACATTTGGCAAGAGTTCTGAATCAAGTCCAGACTGATGTCTGCGAAGATTTTTTAAAATCGGTTCAGATTTAGATATTGCTCCCACGTATAGTTTCGTCCGATTTTTTGTGAATGATACACCAAACTCCCAATATTTGTCCGATTGGCACAAAATTTTGCACAGAGTACTGAATTAGGTGCAGACTGATGTCTGGGAAGTTTTTTTTTTAAATCGGTTCAGATTTAGATATAGCTTTTATATATAGTTTCGTCAGATTTATTGTGAATGATACACCAAACTCCCAATATTTGACTGATTGAGTAAAATTTTGCATTGCGAATGCTATTGAATAAAAAAATTATGCGTGATAAGGTTTGTTGAAATTGGTTCAGATTTTGATATAGGTTTTTTATATATTTTCGTTCGATTTTATGTAAATGGTGGTTACACGAAATTTGGCAGAGGGTATTAAATTGAATATAGTGATTACAAAAAACAAATGGTGTATGCAACGGTTACTCAATTAGGTCCATGTGTTTATATAAAGCTCCCATACATAATTTGTCTCGATTTCATACAAATGGTACACCAAAGAATCCAAGTCTGTCCGTTGGACATGCAATTTTTCATTGACTTCAGAATGGTATATGTTTGGGGTTTTTCAATTGGTTCAAATATTTATCTAGATAGCTCATTTAATTTCGCCCGATTTCATCTCAATAATCCTCCAAAGATTCTATGACCGTTCTATCTACAGGACATTGTAGATATTAACATGTCTTGCATGTACCCAAAGTGGTGAAGGGTATCATATAATCGGCCCCTTCCGACTTTTGAACATTCCTTACGGGTTTTTTATTTTCGAACATTCGAAACTTCATAGCCTATAAATGAAAGAAAATAGTTTTTCAAAAATAATTTTCCGTATGAGTTTTTATAATTTAGTATCAGAGGACATTAACAAGCCGCAAACTTTTTATACCTTACACAACTATGTTGTCAGGGTATTATAGCTTTGTGCAGCCCCAAGAGTTTGTAACGCCGCGAAATATTAGTCCTAAACCCACCTTCAAGTATACCGATCGTCATATCTCGACTAGCTGAGTCGATCTAGACATGTGTGTCCGACCGTCCGTCCGTCTCTCCATTATAATTTGTAAACACGATACAGGCCACAGTTGTGAGCCAATCTTCACGAAATTTTGCGTGTAGGATAGATTGTGGCCAATGGATCGATTAATATTTAGGGGATGAAATGGACCAAATACTAAATTTTTGTCGGTTTTTCTGGTCGCTCCTGAGGCGGCAATTATGGCCCGAACATCGTGAAATTTTACATGGAGTAGAGGATCGAGCCAAAGAATGAGCATCCCTGTTTTGATAAAGATTGGCCAATATTTAGTGGGTCAAATGGACCCTGACTTTTGTGTGAAAAATTACAAAAATTGTATTCTATGGCGTATATACTTGCCCCTGGAGGATATAGACCCGAGAAGTTGATAGTATGTCCAAGAGGAGTGGTTGACCTTTAAATTGATACCAATTTTATGGTCGTATGTACTCAGATGTGGGAGATCCACTTAAATATTTACTACACTTAAATATTACGTACTAAGACATTATGAATGGGTTACTATTCCACACTAGAGAGCGGAAATATAACCCTGATCGCTTTTAAATTTTCCATGAGATCCCAGTTGTGGTCAAGAACAACGCCTATAATTTTGATGATTAGATGATGGTGATGATTAGATAACAATTTTGGGATGAAGTGGGCCGAAAACTTATATTTTTCGAGTCGATCTATAAGAAGAAGTGCTGTTGACCTCTGATTAGGCAAATATCACGAAATATTGCCCAGGCTCGAAATAAACATCCACAGCAAGTTAGAGTAGTGTAGTAGTTGTGTAGGGTATCGTATGGTCGGCCCCGTCCGACTATACTGCTCCGCTCACTGGTTATTATTTTAAATAATAATTGAGATATAGAGCTCTAACAAAAAGTGCCGTAGCTACCAAAGTCTCGCTACATAGTAACCTCTGACTAATCTTTACAAAAAATAAACTTAAAAATCCTGCAATCTGTTACAACAATTATTTTTCAATAATATGCCATATAGATAAAAGCATCTGTAATATTTTGCACTTTAGTTATATGTAAAATATATGTTCATTTAAGTGCATATTAGTAGTAACGAAATGACTTGTATAACCGGTTCGCTGAATAAATAAATAATTAAGAAGCTTAAACATACGAAACAGCAAACACATATTTTCACATTTGCATATTAGCTAAAGCTCTTTAATAAATCAAATGTAATTCAATATACGCGTATTTATTTACACAAGGCGACCACAAACTGCACAACCTCAAAATGTCTCACCAACTGGTTTAATAGTCAATTCATGGACTTGAACGTGGGGCGGAGTGGCAATGGCATACATAACTCCAGCTGAGATGTCTTCGGGTTTTAACATGGGTAATCCCTGATAACTTTCGGGTACAATTTCCGTATCAACCAAACCGGGACTTACACTCTAGAAAACAAACACACACTCATGAGAAACAACATATAAATTCCATTCCGATAGACCCTCTTACCGTTATTTTAATTTTCGTCTTCAAATCTCTAAACTCCTGGCGTAAAATCTCCGTCAGCCCTGTCACGCCATGTTTCGATGCTGGATAAATATTAAATTGTGCCACAACACCAGGTGGCAAATTGAAAACATGGTGACCCACAATGCTATTAATCAGTACCACATGGCCATCGTTGATCTGACGCTTCTGCATTGATTCGTAAGTGCGACGTGTGCAATACACCATTCCCATTAGATTGGTTTGTAATGTTTTCTCCACCTCGCCAATATCCATGGTCAATAGCTGACCGGCCGTGTAGGTGCCGGCGTTGTTTACAAGAACATCCACACCACCCAAATTCTTTTCGATCCAATCGAAAGCTTCATTGACAGATTGTAAATCGGAAACATCACATTTGACGACATGTAAACGTGTCTGTAAATTTGTGGCTAAACTGCTGCGTATCTCTTCGACACGTTGAGTACGACGCGCCAAACCGACCACAATCAGGCCAGCATTAACCAGATCTTTGGCAATGGCAGCTCCAATACCTGAACTGGCACCAGTAACAGCAGCTACACGATTTTGCCAACGTTCCATTTTGATGGAGACACGTTTTTCGCTGGTTGGAGGGGAAGGTAGCTGGTAAGTCGGTCTAGTTCTGCTGTGGTTAGCACGTTTCACCTACTCTTCCAAATTGATTGTTTGTTTGTTTATTTTCTGATGTGGGCAATTTAAATCGCGTAATTTGTCTTTTTTTCACTCTTTTTTCGTTTCACTTATTTCAACGCCACCTAAGTCATCCGCAACGACTTTTTGTTGTTGCTGCTCGACATCTATTTGCAAACTAAATCCGAATGCAATGATATGCAATAGTTTTATAGAATACAATCGTTGCTGGTGCATCGAAAGATGCAAGTCAGAATAGAAAAATATATTTATTATTAATAGCAAATAAACTTAAAGTGTAGCTAGCTTGGTGGGCGGGTGTGTGTATGAATGTAACACATTAATTTATAACAATCGGTACATGTTATTTTTATATTAAATGGGAAATGCATTTTGCTTGCAAATTATATTGAAAATTAAAATTGTTGCACGTTAACGGACCCACATCCAATAACTTAGAACACATTTTTATCATTCCGTTTGCAACAGCTTGAAATATTCACCAGAGACCGGGCAAAGAATTATTAAATTAAATTATGAAAAAATTGAAAAGTTTTGGATTTATTGATCTGTCGTTGCAATCTCTTCATGATGTTGACCTCCTAAGTTTATTTACTTGGACGCTGTGACTACTTTAATGTAAAACAATGGGTAACCAGTAAGGAAAGTAGTAAAGTCGGACGGGGCCGACTATATCATACCCGTCACCACTGTGGGTATATTCAACAGATGAATCCTAACAGACGTCGAATTTTTGAAGGACCAGTAAAATGAAATTGGATCCATAAACATGTTATTCTGCAACATATACTAAATTTTTCATTTGGTCAGATACAGGGTTCCTTCAAGCTAGGTTATATTATATTCAATACTTTGTGCCAAATTTTTGTCAATCGACCTAACTTTGGGTCTTTGGTGAACCATTTATCTATCGGACGAAAATATATATGGGAGCTATATCTAAATCTGAACCGATTTACACAAAAGTTAACACACGTCGTTCTGGACCTTATTCAGTACGCTGTGCCAAATTTTGTGCAAATCCAAAGATATATAGAGACTTTGGAGACCCATTTACCTTAAATCGGACGAAAATATATATGGGAGCTATATATAAATCTGCTCAAATTTTCTCGAAACTTGACACACATCATTCTTGACCTAACTCAGTACTTTATGCCAAATTACGTGCAAATCGAAAGATATATAAGGATTTTGGTGCCCCATTTACCTTAAATCGGACGAAGCTATATATGGGAGCTATATCTAAATCTGGACCGATTTTCACGAAACGTAGCACACATCATTCCGGACCCAATTCAGTACCCTATGCCAAATTTCGTGCAAATCGAAATATATATATAGGGACTTTGGAGATCGATTTACCTTAAATCGGACGAAAATATATATGAGAGCTATATCTAAATCTAGACTGATTTTCACGAAACTTAGCACACATCATGCTGGACCTAATTCAGTACTCTATGCCATATTTCGTGCAAATCGAAAGTTATATAGGGAGTTTGGTGACCCATTTACCTTAAATCGGACGAAAGTATATATGGGAGCTATATCTAAATCTTGACCGATTTTCTCGAAACGTAGCACACTTCATTCTGGACCCAATTCAGTACCCTGTGCCTAATTTCGTGCAAATCCAAAGATATATAGGGACTTTGGTGCACCATTTACGTTAAATCGGACGAAACTATATATGGGAGCTATATCTAAATCTGAACCGATTTTCTCGAAACTTGACACACATCATTCTGCACCTAAGTCAATACTATGTGCCAAATTTCATACAAATCGAATGATATGTAGGGACTTCGGTGCACCATTTACCTTAAATCGGACGAAACTATATATGGGAGCTATATCTAAATCTGAACCGATTTTCTCGAAACTTGACACACATCATTCTGCACCTAATTCAATACTCTGTGCCAAATTTCATGCAAATCGAATGATATAGAGGGACTTTGGTGCCCCAATTACCTTAAATCGGACGAAAATATCTATGGGAGCTATATCTAAATCTGAACCGATTTTTCCCAATTTCAATAGGGTTCGTCCTTGGGCCAAATAAGTGACTTGTGCCAAATTTTATCCAAATCCGATCATAAATACGACCTGTACTTTGTTTACAATTTAACTTCTACAGACGGACGGACAGACGGACGGACATGCATAAATCGACTCAGAAAGTGATTCTATGCATATTCTCAAAAGGAACCATGTGTCTATCTCGTTTCCTTTTGCCTGTTACAAACATATTCACAAAGACATAATACCCTGTACCACAGTGTGGTGAAGGGTATAAAAATAGAGTGAGGCAACCTAGGTTTTTTATATTTTTCTCGATTTGTGACTAAGCCACTCGTGTAACGGCGTTCGTGCTACAGTAAAAGTAGTTTCAATGCGCAATCAGGAATTTCCAAACATCAATTATAGGATTGTTGTACTGGCTATTCTGAGTAATTAGATATATTACTGATGAGGATCAGTGGCGAGATCCGAAACTATAGTCTTCCCTGCCTTACCCCACGGCGGTCAATGTCATACATTCCCCACTAATAAATAGTTGTTTTTTTATAAAAACAACAAACTAGGATTCAGCCTGACTATTTTGCAAAAACAAATCGCAAATGGCATCCCCTAGTGTAATTAGATATATTTTTTTGGTACACAGCATCACAGTAATATTCATCCACAGGTGAAAATTTTGTGCGATCATATTTCTAACAAATTTCTAACCAGACAATATGATAGCCTTCACCTCTTTGGATACATACAAGATATGCTCATATGTACAATATCCTGTAGATAGAATAGACAAATCGGACGACATTAAATTTAGCCATTTGAGCTTGAGGAAAAAGAAATGCATACATTTTTGGCAGAAATGTCGATAAAATCGGAAAAATGATCAAGGTTGACCGGCATGTTAGCACTCATAACCATGAGCTAAAAGTCGACCATAAAATTATTTTAAACCATTTACACTACAATGGATTCAAAAAGAATCTCGATGTTTTAGTGCCACGCCAATTAATAGGAAAAAGTAGAATGAATCGAGTTTCCATCTGCGAAGCCTTGGCCAATCGGAATGAGATAGACCCATTTCTTAAACGGTTGGTGACTGGAGATGAGAAATGTATCACATACGATAACCCTGTGCGAAAACGAGCGTAGTCAAAGAGCGGTGAAGCACCTCAAACGGTGGCCAAACCAGGACTAACGGCCAAGAAGGTTCTATTATGCATTTGGTGGGACTGGAAGGGGATTATTGATTATGAGTTGCTTCCTTATGGCCAAACGCTAAATTCTGATCTAAACTGTCAACAACTGGACCAATTGAAGATAACAACAGAAACGGCCAGAATTGGCTAACAGGAGAGGTGTTGTTTTCCACCAGGACAACGGACAGCAGGGAAACACACATCTACAGTGACTCGTGCAAACTAGCGTCAATTTCAATCGGACAAATGTTGGAGGTTTGGTGCACCATTTTCATAAAATCGGGCGAAAATAAATATGAAAGTTACATATATCTAAATCTGGACCGATTTTCTCCCATATCAATAGTTTTTGTTCGCTGGCTAAATAAGTGACCTGTTCCAAATATCCGATAATAAATGCGACACGTACTTTGCTCACAAAAATGCATGGACGGACAGACGGACATTCTTAAATCGACGAAAGTAATTCTATGGATATTCTCAAAAGAAACCATGGGTCTAACTCGATTCCTTTTGGCTGTTACAAACATATGCACAAATACATAATACCCTGTACCTCTGAGTGGTGAAGGCTATAAATAGAATAAACCTTATTTTAGTCAATTATAGACAATAGTTCAGTCATTACTGCTATGTAAAATCATTTTTGAGAATAAAAGTCAAAACTCCTCAAAATATGGAACTAAAAAATATACGTATTATCGAAAATATAATATATTTGGCCAGTCTGTAAGTAAAAGATATGGCACACCTAAAATTTTAGTAATCGAACTTAATCATAGTATTGCCTAGGCCGAAAATATATACGTACTAGCGAAGTGCCCGCTACTTCGTATGCAGAAAGGGAATACAAACCAAATAAATAATATTTATATGGAAATCATGAACAATGTATAATTTGTTGTACTATAAATCTGAATACACACTAATTTCCGAAGTATCTTTCTTATTTTCATTATACACTTTCAAAAGTGATTAGAATTTTAGTTATATATTTTAGGAAATACGTTCTACATTTGGTTCCATTTTCGAACACATACGTCCATAATTTCAAGACTACCTCCATGTCTCAATTCTACGCTCATGCAGCAATCAATATCTAAAATTTCATGTTTCCAGCTCTATCCGTTCACCCAAAATCAAAATTGCACTACATTTAGTATCGTTTAGTAACCATAAGTACGAATTTGCTAAACTACCACAATTATATAACAGTAATTTTTATTCCAAAATTCAGGAGTCCACCGCTATTCCTTCACACAAAATCGAATTGTACAAAATTTAGTACCGTTTACTTCACATAAGTGGGAATTTTAAAAACTACCTCCATATCTCAATCCAACATTCCAACAGTAATCATAATTCCAAACTTTAGGTTTCCAGCTTTCTCCGTTATCCAAATTATTCCAAATTTAGTGCATTTAGTACTATTCGTACGCATAAAATCTAATTTCCAAAGGTGATATAAATTCCAAATCTTAAATCCAGGCCTATTTGGGTGAATCCAAAATGTACCAAATTTAGTACCTTTTAGTATTTTTCATTCCCATACGTAAGAATTAATTCCACTAAAATCCAAATTATACCAAATTTAGTACTTTTTCTACTCAAAAGTACGAATTTCCGAAACTACCTCAATCCTGCTTCCCATTAGTAATCGTAAGTCCAAATTTATGGTTTCCAGGTATATCTGTTCACCC